CAAATACTTTCTGTTCTTTCATTATTTATCCCTTTCTGAGCCTCACGTTACATTTCATGGTAGAATGATTTCGCAGTGGAGAGACGACCTGAGTAGTATTCACACGTACGTCTTGCTATGATACTCTGAGCGTAAAACAATCACGTGATTGTTTAGACCACATCGTCAAAACAATGTCTATGGCGTAGAGGACTGCGATATTATTAAATGTAGTGTAAAGGAAATGCGAAACGTGGGTCATTCCTGGTGAAAGTATGCATCGGCGGGTGGTTCTTCCGTTGAAATTTATTTGTAATAAAGTTTATGACTTTCTAGGCGTTTTTTTTTCATCCTGCTTATTTTCAGTGTCCAGCAAGAGAACTGCGCCTTCTATCATCACAATTAATTAAAATAATTATTCAATATTCTAATTTATATATTTTGCATATTAATATAAATCAAACCAAATTATGAAATAGATGCCAATTGGTATATATAATAATTGATTTTTGTAATATGTTGTTATGTTAATTTAATGTCATTGTATATGTTTTTGAACTGCCATGTAGTTCCCCCCATTTTGTTTTGTTACTATGATTTTGACTAGTTGTTTCATGTACATTGGTTAGGGGATCGTTATCAATTGCGATCTGGGTCGGACTAAACGTCCGCTACTTATTGCTTGATAGATATCTAAAACGGTATAAAAGTATCCGTGTATCAGAAATGATCAGTACTCTTTCTGTACATTTCTGATACACGGATACTTTTAACCATGTATTGGAATTAAACAGGACAGTTTTATCAAAGGTTGCCAGTGGCAACGAGTAGAAGTGGGATGTAATAACAATTAGCCTCTAGCTCGTCGGGCGGGGGCGACGACAATATGCGACCACACAAGTTCAGATCACAGCTGAACATTCACGGTCTAGACCTTAGGGGCAGGGCAGGTAAGCTTTAGTCGTCTCGAGTCTAGTGGGGGCCTAGTCTCTAGCATGTATTGCATATGACAACAAATTGTATTGCTTTACATTATGTATGTTTAGTGCTGAAATGATTTGAATTATGAAATGGGAGCCACGATGGTTCAGTGAGTAAGAAGCTGGCTCCCTAGCCTGGTGGTCGAGGGTTCGCTCCCGGTGTTGACCGAAAACGTTCATCGTGATTTTCCGGCGTGGTTTCTCCATGTCAGGGCAGAAGGCCTGACAAGGACAGCTGTTTAGTCGTTCGGATTGGACGAAAGACAGAGTTCCCGTGTACACATTGACGGGGACGTAAAAAAATCCCTTGATAGTTGGAATTCGATAAAAGCGTAGGCCGTAGCGGCGCTATCCCGGGAAAATGGTCTATGTCCGTCTTTATAAGCCCAGTCGGACCAGAACAGTAGGAAATTTGACCCCATTTCATAACATTTCAAATACAGGGTCAAGAGTGAAGCTACCAAAAGAGTAATCATCCCCATTCGCATTTGATTTTGGTGCCAACGAAATCGTGCCCGGCGCTGCATGGCAAGGTGTCGAAGATGTAAGACACGGGGTCGCTGATATAGCCTTGCTTGCCTCTGGAAATAACATAAGCAACACAAGATCACCAATACGAATGTCTGGCGCATCCATCTTGGATATTAATGACCTTAACTGCGCATTCAGTGTGGCGCTTTTCATTCTGAATTCAATCCGAATAAACTGTAATGTGACGCACCGCTTTTAAACCGGGAAAACCCAATCCGAAGGTCTCCGGAATTCGCAATGAATGCGCATGCAGTGTGAACGCAGCTTGAGAGATATGCCGAATTCAGTTACCAATACACTACGCTCTCCACGAATTATGCCGATAAAGCTACGAAAAGTTTACGATATTTGGCACTATTCGTCAAAGATTCGAATAGGAAGCTGTTACGGACGATAAGAAAGGGCTACGAATCGGAAAAAAGGGTTGGATACGGGGCCATTCATGGCATTCGTAGATGAAAGCCGGCCACGAATGATACGTTCTTCTCGGCCAACGAGAAACTGGGACATTTAGTCGTCTGGGATCCAGTCCTCTAACAGCTTGAGAGCCACTCTAGTCCTTATTAAAGCTGTTGGATAGCATAGATAAAAATAATATTGATCGCCGTGTCGGGCTTTATGTCAATGATTTTAATGAAGTGATGTGGTCGTTAAATTAAACGTTAATGAAATCTTTACATCTGTATAATCCTGATTAAATTATAGGTATTATATATCTAATGAATCACCATATTGCGGAAGGATATATATATATATATATATATATATATATAGAAAGCGACGGATGTGATTGTACATCAGTGCGTAGAAAGGGCAATCAATTAATGTGTCACGCGACTCCCTTTAGTGGAGAATATTCCAATCATCTTATTGGTCATTTTACGATAGAACTTGTATGACTTAATAATTGACTTTCTGACAGCTGCAGCTAACCGTTTCATTTACCGTGACTTTAATATTTAAGTTTGGTATTCTGATGTATTTGTACATTGTTTGTAGGCTGTGATTCCGGACTGCTAACACGTGGCGTTGTGGTTGTCTGTTGGGGCATTTCACATTCAGCTTTATTTACCTTGACTTGTTTTTAGCTTTGATTGGCGCTTCTGTGTTCTGCTTACAAAGGTTTATGCCTGTGCTGTTATCCTGTCTATGTTTTTGTTAGGAGTTAACTAAATTAATCGTGAGAAATCTGTAGGTCTCCATGACTGGCAAACAAGAGCGGTTTCATACTTCAGATGTCACGGATTGAGAGGGAATCAAATATGTTTTGTTCATTTCATCACAACACATTGCAGCGAAATTAACAGGAAAAACAGACAGTAAGTAGGAATGTAACATTCATAGTTTTTTTTTGCCATTGTGAAAAACCGTAGACAGTAAAACTATTCTCCGCGTTTTTAATAAGTTCCTCGAAATAATATTTTGAAGTTTCCAAAGTTAACAATCTAAACATTCATGTCAATGTAACGGTTTTAAGATGCGATGCAAATACGGTATTTTTTTTTTTAACGTTTGGAAATTATTAAAATATTGACAGACCAATCATCTGTGTGCACGCTAGTGTATTTTGGAGTGATATATTTATTAGCAACCGTTAAATAATGAAACTATATTTCCTTTTCTCTCAGTATTAGTTGAATAATTTATATTTATTTCGCCCACAGTTTGGAGGCTGCGGGCGTTCATAATTGAAAATAATGAAAATGTAATAGGGATTAACGTCCTACTTTTCTGCTCCATCCGGGATAATGAAGACGGGTATATACGCCATGGAGTGTGCTATGAAGAGACACTCGAATGACTAGACGCTGTCCCTTGCCAGGCCAACCGATTATTTAATATTTAAAGGAGCTAAATCGCTAATATTCGGGACCTAGAAATTGATACAAATGGGTCGCATCGCATATAATAATGTAATATGAATGTATATAAACTGATTTACATTCAATCGTTTCCGTTTTACTGTAATTTCTAATCAGTTACGTTCGGCGAAATATGCCATAAGTCGCGCAATCGAATGGCAATCTCTAGCGTCTGGTTATTCCAGTTTACACCGATAGTATTTTGTGCGCATGCTCTCCAGATAAGAATATGAGGTCACCGTTTGACATGACTTGTGGAATATGTCTAGTCTCGTTCTTCGAGTCCCTTGTTATAAACGCATTATGGTACACGATTCGTGTACCAATGGTTAAATGTTAGATATCAGAAGCCCATCTCTTCCCAGTAAGATCACAACATAAATATTGATTTAAATTTACAAATAATTATTTTCAATGTTGAAGACTTTGGATGATAGTGAGTTAGAGACTTAGCTACTTTAATAAGAAAACATGATTAAAATAGCAACGCTAATTAACTTCCCGGCTTGGATTCAATTTGATTTTAAAAAAAGGAATATCATTTATATTCGCCCACAACTAAATGGCGACGGGTTTATTACAATAGCAAGCAGCATAGATCGATGAAATTTTAATTCAACATAACTTTGTAAATACTGAACGGAATTGAACCATTTTTAGTCCGATATTCCTATTGGGGGTTCATCTTTCATAATATTGCTTGAAATGCCGCATAGAGACATTTAAAAATAAAAAAGATAATATTTTCCAAGAATAATTGCGTTTATTTTCCTGGTGAGAATAAAATATATTTAAGTTAAACTTAGATAAGCTTAATTAATGAAAATTCGAGCACTGACTTAATTGTAGTTGGGTATTTTGCGCCTGTGTTCGTTTAAGTGCTTAAAACGTTTATAAACCTGTCTTTACCTGTAAATTGAACGTATACATGTATATCTGAATAGCATCTATTTTAAATACCCTTGATGTATTGTTATTTTGAAAACAAACGCTGCTTGAACATCCCATGGAGTTATAAGAAAATGGCCGCCAATTTGATATACCCCAATGGTAAAGTCCAGGGCCCTGTTTGTCGAAATCTTCACTAAAGATAAAATCCAAATTTTAGTAGATACTTCAATTTTGATTGGCTGATCACTAAAATCAATCTAATATTATCCAATCAAATTACTAAAATTTGGATTTTTATCTTAGTTAAAAGTTCGTGAAACAGACCCCAGTTCTATTAAACCTGTTGGTCATTTTGTCATTTCAGTTCTATTTAAGATGGATGGTGCTATATGTTATCGTCGATAACTGGAATTGACAATGGTAATTTCCGTTCTATTGAAGATGGGTGATCCTGTATTTTATTTCCCATAACTGAAATTACTAATCGTAAATAGTGTTCTTCAAAAGATGGAGTTAATTTGAAGGAATTAATCGATCAAAGCCACGGAGATTTTTGTTATTTAGTGGATTATTATTTTTATTTAGATTTAAATTTCGGTTCTTTTTATAATATAAATGCGGATTATTTTGTTGATTTGAAACCGGGTTAAATTTTAGTGGTACTATGGAACTATTGTTTTTGACAAAATAATTAATAACAATAACAATCAAAATGGCCAATCTTACCGATGCGTTAGCCAAGGACCATAACTCTAGTATGTCATTTTCGGATATACCAGAATCCTTAGAAACCACTCGATACGTTGTGCAAAAAATCTTAGTACCGTTTATAACAGCCATCGGTTTATTAGGGAATTCTCTTAACATATTAGTGTTACGTCATCCATTCATGAAAGGAGTTTCCACAAACTTTTATCTGTTTATTATGTGCTTAGTGGACATGACGTATTTGATACTTACTTTATGTTTGTCTTTTAAACATTGTAGTGACATCGACCAACATGTATCTGCGTTCTATTTCATAGTGTATGCTCGCCCTTTAACGGATTTAGCCGGAAATGTTGCTGTGTGGATTACCGTTGTTTTTACAATTGAAAGATATATCGGCGTTAAATACCCGCTTAAAGGTAGAATATGGTGTACTGTGAAAAAAGCTAAAATTATTTCACTTCTAACTTTTATCTTCTGCTTGGGGAATACCCTTCCCGAATTCTTCGAAATGGAAATCATTAAGAGTCAAAATGGAGACCATAGGTGTCAATATACAACTTTTAATCAGCATTCTAGTTATCAGATTGGGTATTACTGGTGGTTCGTTACTATATTTACGTTTATTCCCTGTTGTGTTTTATTTGTTTGTAATTCCTTGTTAATCAAGATTTTATTGGAAGCTAAAAGGGAACAACTAACATTGGTTCCATCAGACCGTGCCAGAAAAAAACGTAAACTCGAACAACATAAAGTGACGTTAATGTTAGTAACCATAGTGATAATATTTTTGTTGTGTCAGTTACCATGGACGACATTATTATTATATCGGACGTATTTATCCGCACATGACTTACCGGAACCAATCAACGACATTCGAATAGCCGGAAATATTTGTAATCTTTTGGTCCAACTTAACGCATCTGTTAATTTCTATCTTTACTCCTTCTTCAGCCGAAAGTTTCGTAAAACAATTTGCAGAATATTCTGTGCACATCAGTTAAATCCAGAGTTCTCTGCCTTGAGCTAAAATTGCGTAGAGAGGGGGCTGATTAGGCACAGAAAGAGTCTGGTCGGGACGCGGTGTGCGCAGCGAGAGCATGAGCGTTGGCGTTTTCCGCGCTCTCGATACGCAGTCCCCTATCTCACTACGCTATCCACGTCAAAAAGTTTTGTTGACAGGGACAGTAACTGATCCAAATATATATATATATATGCATCTAAAACTCGAAGGATTTACAAGGCTCGGCGACATGGGCACTACGTCTGATTTTAAGACGATCATAAGCATCCTTCTGTCATCTTAACGTTAAGAGATATTTCGCCCATTATGTCATAAGTAAGGCGATCGAGAGCGGCAGGGGGCGGGGACATTTTATCCGAGCTAAGCGAAGATCCGAGTTTGCCGAAGACCGACATTCAATCTTAGCTCGATTAGAAATAAGCTGCAAGAACCGGATAATAATTGATTCAAAGGCACATTTGTTCGTACATGCGAGTAGATAACTTCCGTTTTTGAAGCTAGTAGACAACTTCCGTTTTGTCACCAGCTTTGAATGAAAATGTCCTATATTTTCCCGGAAAGTGTCTCGTACAGCAGACAGCGAGTTTCGAATTTTCCGGGAAAATTCTATAATTGCGTCGTGTCAAATAGGCTGATTTGAGCCAAATGATATAATAGGGGGAAGTATTTTGGGGCTGTGTGCATGGAATACTTAACTGTGTTTTAGATCATCGGGACGAAACTGACTTAGTCAAATTCTGAACACAAATTCTGAACATACTGCCGATCCGACTTAGGCGAAGGAAAAAAGCCGGAATTAGATCAAATGGACCGAACATTTTGATCCGAGTTGAGCGAAGATCCGACATAGGAAATCCAACTTACGCGCAGAAATTTAATAAGAAAAACGAGCAGGATCAAAGGGTTCAAACGATTTTATCCGAGTTGAGCGAAGATCCGATTTATACGAATCCGATTTATGCGAAGTTTACTTTTTGTAAAATCAATATTAATTTTGTAGTTATCGATGTTTTGCGTCACAGAGGGAAACACCGAATCATGTTTTACTTTATTGGCCCTTATCACGTGTCACTAAAGGTGCCCGTGTCCCGATTTTAAGCAACCCCCCGATCGGATAACAGAATGTTTAGTGGTAAGGACTTTATAATTTTTCATTGGAAATTTAAGTTTTAGACTAAATCGATTTAAAAAGTAGAAGACTCAGAATCTCGGACAATAATCCACAACTGAATGTAGCAGAAGTGAATAATCCGTATGGGTAGGGTTATGCAGATGAATCATGGGTACCATTTAAGCCTTCTCCACGGGGATTATTTTTTTAGACAGACCGTCACAGTGTGAAACAACGAAGCATTTTATTTTATTATACTTGCTCTTGTCACAAGCTACTAATCGTGCCCGGGCCCCAATTTTAAGCAACCGCGCCATTGGATAACAGAATGTTATGTTGTAAGGATTTTAGAATTTTTATTAGGCATACTGTATAAGTTTTGGACTAAATCGATTCAAAAGGTGGAAGACTCAGACAGAAACACATAACTGAATGTGAAGGGTTATGTTGAATGTAGATTTTTTTTTTTTTTAAACCATATTTTATTCAGTTTGTCTGAATGAGATTGGGGAACAGGCTTAGCCTATGTAAAACCCTTCGCTCTAGATAATATACATACATAATATTAAAACAAAGGAACAAAATGGGTGTATATACACAGTTAAAATGGCAAACACATACATAAATATATGTAAATACATATCATGAGACGGATGGCAATGTACGATATATATTATAGGTTACATCATCACGTAAATTTGAAACTAATATTGTAAATTAAAACAATTAATAAGCAAGATTAAAATCTGTTTGACATGTCAATAAACTTGTGGACTTGATTACAAATATTGTTGTTTACATCTGTACAGTGTTTTGTGGACACGAACAAGAGATAGTTAATGTTTTTATGATCGTGTTGTAATTTGTCAATAGTTTCCTTTCGTGCATTTGAATGTAATGAGCATCGCAAAAGGTAGTGATGAGGATCTTCAAAAATGTAGAATGTAGATGAATGAATGCACTTAAATCATGAGTACCGGCTCCCCGGTGATTATTTTATTTTAGACAGTACGAGGACATGTTGAAATTATATAAAATGGGGCTTAAAGTCGTACTTTTATGCACCGGATACGGGACATATTAAAAACTACCGGATCTTGAAGTATGTAACAAGACACCTGGCCCCGAGTTCACAAAGCATTCGCAGACTTAAGTTAAGTATTTACTCAAAATTATTCCCCTCATTTTAACTAAACTATAGCCCTTTATAAAACGTTTGTTGTTTTAATATATCAAATACGTCAAAGAGAAACTATGTACTAGGCTTAGTGTTTCTGGATTAAAGATATTTCTCATAAACAGTGATTGAAAGTTGAGTAAATTTTTAAACTTAAGTCTGAGAATGCTTTGTGAACTTGGGACCAGTATATACAATTAAAAATTCCACGTAGATCAAAACTGTACGTATGTCAAATAAAAACAAGCAAAAATATCGGCTATGTGAACTTCTCAAATGAGAGGTGGTACTGGTATCAAATGTTCTATAGATAATAAATAAAATTAAATGAAATGGGGTATAACATCCTATTGTTCTGCTCCGACTGGGCTAATGAAGACGGGCATACACCATACTTTGTGCCAGGTCCATTGTTCCGCACCGCTGACAAGCGGGAATCACGCTTGTAGAGTAATAATAATGTATATCATGCCTTATTTACTGTTAATTATATTAAGTCTTGCTATGTTATATGTATATATTCTGTTGTAAAGTAATAAATTATTTATTAATGGCCTTAGTACAATCATTAAATACTCACTTCATGAATAATAACTGTGCTAGACGCTGACAGCTACTGCCTCGCTGCTCGACTAGATTGAATATTTTTATAAGTACACTGAAACTCCGCATTTTTGAAAGCTGTTACGTTATACTGTGGGGATGAATACAAAATAACCTATGCTCGTTGAATACCATATTAGGAGTGAAACAAAGCTAGTATGGCTAGCTGGGCTGTCTTAACGCATAGTTACGCTGGGTGGTTGAATCCAACCCCGCGAGCTTAGAGGTCCAATCTTTCCTTTACGGCATGTTTAATGTATACACACTAATCTTGTTGGAAATAACAATGCGAAACAAGACTTTCTAACTATTTATACTGAAAATTTTATTGGAAACGTTCCATTTTCGTTGCGTAATTGTTCAGGGGTCTGATTATGTCCAATCCGGCCATACAAAACTAGCTAGACGTAGTAAATTGGTGTCGATCTGGGAGAGTAGGTCTACTATTTGATCAAAAATAGTTCGCATGTAAAACGACTAGATCAGTTTCATTAAGACACAGTAACCACTGGGCTTGTAGCCCCCGGAAATTGGACCACGATTCAAACTGTCACGAACATATTAAGTAACACTTCTTCCGGCTTTAGTATTTAAATTCAGTTTAACAATGTTGAGTTTGTCATAGTTACAATACATTGGAATACTAGTATTTCAACGGAAAGTCAATTATATCCGAAAGATATAAATTAAGAGAATTTCAAATGTCAGTATGTAGTACGTTGACATTAATTGATTTGTCCTCTGTGTAGGTTGGATATGACTGTAATATTAAAGTGACAGCCGCCGTTGCTCAGTGAGTAAGACGTTGACTCGCTAACCTGGAGGTCCCGTGTTCGATGCCGGTGTTAGCTGAGAAAGTTAATCAAGATTTTCCGGCGTGGACTCCTTTTGTTAGTTGTGCAGGACGGGTGGCCTGGCAAGCCGAGGTCCCATGTACACATTTGGCGTGAACGTAAAAGAACCCTTTACAGTTAGAATTCGATATAAGAGTAGGCCATAGCGCGGACTATAATACTTGAAACCAGGCACGACTTTTATTGCTTGAAGAACATAAAATAATTTCGAAAAAAAAAAACAATGTTATATAGGTTCGCGGTAGGCTCGGTATCTCGGATTTGCAGCTTGGGTACAGTTCGTATTGGCTTATTGTATCAAATTAAATTTCTACATAGGTTTGAAGTTTGCTTTATAAGTACCGATTGCTTCTTTGAACGCTACTAAAGGACGCCTGTCTCCATTTTATGGGGACCATCTGTACAGTTAAGAGATTTCTGACATTAACATCCGTTGAGAGAATATTGACTTTCGCCTTAGGGTATCGAGGAAACTTTTAAAGAGAAAACGTTTAAGGCAACGGATTATGTTATAATATCTGACAGTTTAGAAATTCAATACCTTTCGTCAATGACCATTCCCGGAAGCATTCTATTTAGTTTATTATTTTTCACCAGTCTGGGTTCTTGTACAATAATTCTGAATGGTATAATACCAGGAATAAATTATACGCGTGGTTTATATATCGCCACTGACCATTCACACAGAAACATTCTGTTTAGCCAATTAATTATCCCCAGTCTGAGATCTTGAACAATCATTTTGAATTTGCCACTTATGATTTCTGGCTATTATGCTAAACGACACAGAAAAAATGCAATAAGTTGTCAAAACAGTAGCATTTGAATTTCCCCATTTGTGGAATCTGTTCAAAACAAAAAGATCTTTCTCTTTTTGCGATAAATAACAACAAGTTTTGTTCGTCGAGCGTATGACCCAATTATGATCGAGAGCACGTATATTGTATTTGAATTCAGAATAAAATAAGCTTCTTTAATTTAATTGAATTCGGGATCTTTTAATTGTAATTTATACCCTAGTAACTGACTTTATATAATATAAACACTTAGTAAAAATTGGATTCAAGCCCTAGTGAGTATCATTTCTCAGGACAAATATAAGCACTAAATGAATATTGGATTCGAGCCTTAGTAACTATCATTTCTCTATCGCTTTCACAAGGTCTTCGAAAAGTTTGATTCAAATCTGGAACGCTAACTATCCATAGGGCTCATTCTGTAGAAGGATGGCTGTCACTGGGACTCGTCACTGACTATCAAT